TGGGCATTAGAAATATTGGTAAAGGTGAGGAGGATCAAGATATTCATAAGCTTCTTCAGAAATCTTTAGCAGACCATTGTGGTGACATCTCTGTCCCAGCACTAGGGAGGCTGAGGGGGGAGGATCATGAGTTTGAGGCCAGCATGGATCACAGAGAACAACTGTCTAAACAACAACAGCTGAAACGAAAGTGTGGCTGCTCACATCTGTAATCAAGGCAGAACAAAACAACTATCCAGAACAATGTTCATTTGACATTTGAGGGAATGCTTCTGCTTTCTGGGAATTATATTAAGCTTTACCAAGCAATTCCACAGACATTTTGTAATGGCCCTTCAGGGTTGACTCTGAGATAGAGAAGGACACAGTAGGGACGATGCTTATTTTACAGATGGTGAACTGAAGCTTAGAGTTAGAAAGAGAACAAAAATTCAGTATTCCAGAAGATGACTCAGTTAGCACATGAGGTAGAAACTGAAGCTTGGTCCTTCGACACCAAACCCCACTCTTGCTGCTCTCTAACTTTTCAGAATTCTTAATAGAAAGGAAAATTCAGGCAACAATGATGACCACTGTTTCATAAATTGTTATTATCATAACAAGGACTTGTAGCTAATGTCAGCAGTGATTGTGTAATCAGTGATATTTGACAGTTGACATTTTACCAGAAGGCCTAGGTTTCTCAATAGAGCCACTGATTTCCCTTGTGAAAGTGTGAGGCCAGAATCATAAAAAAAGGAGAAGCTTCAAAGGTCCCATAGAGAAGGCCAGCTCTGCCCAACCACCAGGAAATATCATTCCTCAAAGGAGCACCTACACTACCCATATCTCATCCAGCAGTCAAATCTTAATTCAGTTCTTATCCAGTCAGAACACTCAAGAGAAAATGTATTTCGTTTTGGATTGATGTTAGAATGGTCTTCTTTGCTATGTCAAATGTACCTCTAATGCCGTGCTCTGTTGTTGGGCTGGTAATCTTGTTTTCTGCTCTCTTTATGTTATTTCATTTTATTTTATTTTTTTGGTCTTTTTGAGACAGGGTCTCCCTGTAGCCCCAGCTGTCTTGGAACTCACTATGTAGACCAGGCTGGCCTTGAACTCACAGAGACCCACCTGCTTCTGCCTCCTGAATGCTGGGATTAAAGGCGTGCGCCACCATGCCCGCTTTATTTCATATTTTAATTGTGTGTGTGTGTGTGTGTGTGTGTGTGTGAAGTTGGCATCTAGTGTCTTCCTCAATCACTCTCCACCTTATATTTTGAGACAGAATCTCTCACTGAACTTGGAGCTCATCAATTTGAACAGTCTGGCTGGCCAGTAGAGCTCCAGGGATCCTCCTGTCTCTACCTCCCTAGCACTGGGATTACAGGCATATGCCAAACATAGGTCCTCACGCTTGAGCAGCAAGCACTTTACTGTCCTAGCCATCTCTCCAGGCCACATTTCTAACATTTCCCCCTAACCAGTGGCAAGAAGCCCCCATCCTTCCGCTTCACGGCCTGTACCCTTCCTCCATGCTGCCTACTGAAGATTTTCCCACAGTGCTCCCTGTATCTGGCTGTATGCTGGCTTCAGCTGAAGTGCTTTCTTCATCATTCTGATTCAGCAGTGTGGGGTAGACTCTAGGCAGATAACAATTTTAACAGTGACACTGCTGGAGCCAGTGCCACACATCGTATTTTACTGGCCATTTCACTCTTCCCCAGTGTTTCCCAAACAGACTTCTGTGTCACCTTGCCCTGCTCTTCCTCCTGTGTAATCAATCTTGTCCTCTCTGAGATCTGGGACTGTTATTAGTGGACTTCCAACAACAGCTTGTTTTATCCCATCCCAAACGGCTGTGGAAGTGCTATGGGAAATGAAAGGTCAAGGAACTCTGAACTACAATTGATTTATGACACAAGGAGAAAATAGCTCAGATTGAGAAAGTTATATAATAGCAAACTCATATGGGAAATCATATTCAAAACTGCACAGTGTAGATTAGTATTTAATGTAAAGCCATAGGACTTTCTCCTCTCTGATCATTTGAGAGGACACTGATGTCTTTGCTGATATCATAGGAGAATATGTGGCTACCTTGTAGTACAATGATTACTAATGACTGGCTAAACTTGAGGCCCGACTAGGGCATCTTATACTGTGGCAGGAACACAGTAGGAGTAGAATACCATTGATAGAACGAATCATCAGAAAAGTGATGGTTAAAAGTCATGAGTATGGGGGCTGGAGAGATGGCTCAGTGGTAAGAGCACTGGCTGTTCAGAGGACTCAGGTTCAATTCCCAGCACCCACATGGTGGCTAATAACCATCCATAACTCCAGTTCCAGGGAATCTAACGTGGTCTTCTGACATCCGTGGGCACTGCACCACACGGGTGCACTCACATACATGAAGGCAATACACTCATACACATAAAATGAAAATGATAAAATATTTAAAAAACATTTAAAGTGCTGGTGGTGCATGCCTTGAGAATCTCTGTGACTTCAAGGCCAGCTCGGTCTACATAGAGAGTTCCAGGTTAGCTGGGACTACAGGGAGACCCTATCTCAAAAAGACTAAACAAACAAACAAAAACATTTTAAAAGTCATGGGTATGTGCAGAATGCTTATGCCTGAATAGGACACCTATATTAAATTTCTGCCTTCCAAGGCTCAGGAATCATTGCAGAAGAGGGGGTGGAAAGAGTTGTAAGAGCCAGAGGTGGTAGGTGACCACAAGGAAACAGAGTTTTCCAGACAGCCGGTATTCATATGACTCATGTGAGCTCACAGCAATGGTGACAGTATGCACAAGTCCCACAAAAGTTCAAGCCAGAAAAAGATCCCAGCATAGACATAGAAGTCAGTAAGAAACCCCAGCCCTCTCTGAGGAACCATTGGTAACCAGTGGCTACTGAAAAGAGGCGAGTCAGTCGTTTAAGGGCAAGACTCCAGGCTCCAGTGCATGAACCCACCAAACGGAACAGGTGAAGGGTTATGAGAAGAAATGACTCACCTAATGAATCATTAGCTAGGTACATAGACACACACCGTACATAGACATAATTATTTCTGGGATTGCTGACTAAAGATCTGTTATTCCAGCAGAAGTTGAAATGATCCTCCATACTGTAGGTGTTATTCTTATAGGTCATATTTTCTTTCATGATGTTTGAATATAAAATGTGAATGACTTAGATCACTAATGATCCCTTTGATGGTTTCCCTGATCAGAAGTAACACAGAGAAACTTGATCCTGGATTTGGCAGATAAGTGAACAAGGTGCCCTGGTGCTTGCTTACCTCAGAGGGGCATTTGCCTCACAATTACCATTCACACAGACTTCTGAATAGAAAATTCACTATCAGCATGTAATGACTGGTCTTGATTTTCAAGCTGACAGAATTTAGAATCACCTAGAAGATATACCTCTGTGCTTGTCTATGAGGACATTTCTAGAGAGCACTGACTGAGGGGAGAAGACCCAACCTGAATATGAGCATCATCAGTCCATGGGCGTGTTCTGGGACTGAATCAAAAGAGAGAAACGAAGAAGTCAGCTCCGCACCTGCATTCATACCTCTCTGCCTCTTGCCCCATGCTCCTGTTTGCTGTGCCTTCTACCATGACAGGATTTCCTCTCTTAAACCATGAACCAGAATAAACCCCCCCATTCCTCGGGTTGATTTTGTCAGATATGTTATCACAGAAACTAGAAAAGTAATTAATACACAGCACAATAAATGCTATTCTACTTCAGGGGACTAGTGCATAAGTAAAAGCCAGTCTATATATCTATCCTGCTATGTTAAAAAGGCAGGGAATCATTCCTGTTGTGGAAGAGCTTGAAACCTGGGAGTGAGACCAGCCACGTAGCTTGTTTGGAAAACACTCTTAAGATCTTACAAAGCAAGAGGTCAGTATTCCATAGGCCACTGACTCTGTGGACTTAGGAAAAACTCTTACTAAATAAGGCTATGATTTATTCAGTACCTGATATGCACCATGAGAAAAGAATTTCATTTTGATGAGTGTATCAATATGTGTCTTTACCAGCCAGTATAAGAAACACTATTTGTTTATTCCTATTATAAAGATCAGGAAATTGAACACAAACAAGTAGCTTGCCTATGATATTGTAAGATATGGATTTAGTATTTGTCCCGTTTCCTGGAATCCCCAGTTCCTTGGACTATCCAGTGTGGTAAGTATCTCTCTGTGTAATAATATGATGAATGGTGGCTGGCAGCCTCTAAATAGCTTCAGGACAGGGACTGTTCATTCACAGTAGGATTAGAGGGCTGGAAGTTTCTACTCTCACTGCCATAACATCTAAGAGTGGTCAATGATTTAACCAGTTATGCCTACATAAAAACCCAAAAGGACTGAGTCCAGGCAGGTTCCAGATAGCTTAACATGTGGAAGTCCCTGGAGGGTAGGGTGCCTGGAAAGGGCATTAAAACTCCATGCCTCTGGAGCCCTCACATCTTGCCCTCTTCTAATGCTTTTCCTGATATTTATCAGTACCCATTGTAATGTCCTTTGTAATAAACAAGTAAACCTAAGTTCATGCCTCCCTGAGTTCTCTGAGTCATCTTAGCAAATGAGTAAAACTCAGAGAGGGAATCATGGGAGCCTCAAATTAGAGGTGATCATTCAGAAGCACAGGTCAAATGTTGTATTTACAAATGACATCTGAAGTGACAGCAGCCTTGGAGACCAAGCTCTCAAACCCTCGGCATCTGATGTTACCTCCTGGTCACTAGAGTCAGAACTGGATTGGATCAGAGGACACCCAGCTGGTTGACTGCTGCAGAATCTGGTGTCAGCACTGGCTGATTGTTTGGTGCATGAGGAAAGAGCCCCACACACCTGGTGTCAGAGTATTGTATTAACTGGTGTATTGGTAGTGATACAGAACAGGAAAAACATTGATTGGCTCCTGTGTCTTCTCACCACGGATGGGTCCTACAGTGGGGTGCCTGGGAAGCTGAAATTTGAATGGAGGCCTACCTGACATAGAAGTCCATGCTTTTGCACTACAGTCAGCCACACAACAGTGGAGGACACAGCTGCTCTCAACCTGCAGTGAGGACGAAGTGACATGACAGGAGAGAGAAGGTGGATACCTGGAAGACAGGGCCAAGTCATGCTTTCTTCTCCTGCTGTCAGCCTGTCTTTGCTTTGTAGGTTTCCCATGCCTCTTTTGTACGCCTCTTCTCTCTGGTAGGATATCTCTCTTGTGTCACTTCCCAGATGGACAAGGGAGATACATGTGGTTTTGCCACTATTTGGTCCAGAGGATTAAGAGTTGGTGTCAAGGGATAAGAACTCGGAATCCCAGGAGATGACATTAAGAAAGAAAGGACGTAGCCTGACTACAGCCTAGCTGGGCTTCTCCTTTCTTTGCAAACAGGCTCAGCAAGTTTGGGACTGAGGATGAGTAGACTGAGAGTTCAATGATTGAGTCCCTGAGAAAAATGATCAAGAAGGGTATATGTGACCCGTGACATTGACTATACTGTTCTAGAGTCACTGCCATTTTCAAAAAGGACTAAGTAAATGCACAAGTCAGTTCCGTGTAAGTACAGATTGGAACAAGCACTACAGGCATTACTCTCTGGGTTAGCTAAGCAGGACATGTTTACCTAGAGCTAGATCATATCCAGAGTGGCAGCCTCATGACTGGCTCACTGTGTGACCTTAGACTGGTCAGTCACACTGGCTGGGCACTTCAGGGTCCTCACAGAGATGTTAGATTAAATAGTTCACACACCCAACCACAGTCTCTAAGCACTTAACAAATATCCAGCAAGCACTCAATACCCCCCACTTCCCTTTAGTAGAGGAATGGGAGTGGAGAAAGAATCAGAGTGAAAAGAATTTAAGGAAGCAGAACTGGCAGACTTACCGCACATGATGCAGACAGCGAGGGGGAGGGAAATGCAGCAGGTCCCAATTTTCTAGCTCAGGACTCTGGCCAACTGTTATCAGTTAGGTATTTTTCTGATGCAAGTCAAAGAACATTAAATCAAATAGATAGTTTGGGGTTTATGTAACTGAAAGGTTCTCGGCACAACCAGTTTTAGGACCGATTTGTTCCAGGGCCTCACCCCTGTGTGGGTCCAGGCCCCTGTCCTCTGGGTCTGTTTTGTATCATGTTGACCTCATTCCTTCTCAACTCCATGTGCTCCAGGAGTGTTAAAAGCTCCACGCTTGTCCTTCTAGATCTGGGACAAAAAAAAAAACTTGCACAGGCATTATCCTAACATGTTATATATTTTGACACGTGATTCTCACAAATATCCTACATGAAATTGAGGCTCATTAAACTACTAGCACAAAGTTTCAAGCAAGAGTCAGAGCTGGGATTTAGGTCCAGGGAGTATGCTTTTCAACCACGTCTGTGCTCTGAATGCCTCTTTTGAAAGAGCGAGGCCTTGTCTTTTGGGTCCTATTAAACTGCAAGTGTTCTGTCTAGATCCACTCAGGCTTAGAGGAAGGTGCTAATTGGCCAGGCATAGTCACCTGTGCATCTCTACGGTGGGCAATGAGGAAATGCTATCAGCCACCTGGAGTCCCTGGGCTGAGGGTGAGGAGGGGATGGTACTCAGAGCAAGGATGATTGGATGCTTCATAGAAAATCACTTTCAACACAACTGAGATGGAAACAAAAAGGTTTGGGAAGGAAATAATGGGCTCAGTGTTAAAGAGGCTTAAGCTTAATGTGCTGGAAAAACATTAATGTGGAGATGTACTTCAATGAAAATACTGGTTCATACTTGAAACAAGCATAATAAATTTGAAAATAAAATGATAGGCAAAAAATATTAGGCAAGATGGATGGAGTGGCACATGCCTTTAATCACAACACTTGGGAGGCAGAGGCAGGCGGATCTCTGTGAATTCAAGGCTAGTCTGGTCTACCTAGTGAGTTTCAGGTGAACCATACCAACATGAAAGAAAGAAAAAGATATATGGCCAATGACAAACAGAAGCAGGAGTGGCACACTTGTGTTGTGGTCAGGCAAAGGCACTTACAGTATACGGGTCATCCTTAACGTAGTTACAAAGGATGCAAAGACGACGTAGCAGTCTATATAGACATCAAAGAACATGGGGGTGGTGGGATATGTGTGGAGAAATGGCTCAGCAGTTAAGAGTGCTTGCTACTCTTCCAGAGGATCTGAGTTCAGTTGCCAGCACCCACATTGGACTGCTCATAACTTGTAACTCCAGCTCCATGGGATCCATTGCCTTTTTCTAGCCTCTGTGGGCATCCCAACCCCACACACATATACACAGAAAACTTAGTGGCAAAATATGTAAAACCCTGTAATCTCATCCTTTAGGGAACTGAGGCAAGAGAATTCAAGGACAGGCTCTGCTCCATAGTGACTTCCAGGGCAACCTGGGCTACAAAGTGAGACCTGTCTCAAAAACAAACAAATGCATAAAGGAAAGATGAACTTTATAAGCACACAGCTGTCCTGAAAGTCTCCAAAATACATTCCTAATGATTAGCCAGAATTAATAGACAAAAAGGCTCTCAATCCAACATTTTACTGGTCAAAAAATTACTGACATGATCTTAATGGTTTAGTGTGGCACATGTAAGGACTTCTTACATCCCACAAACAGAGAAAAGACTTTTTAAAATGAAAATGAAAAAGTTGACTGGGCATTGTGGTACTTATCCAGAATACCATACTCTGGAGACCAGGAAGGAGAATTGCAAGTCTGAGGCCAGCCTGGGCTACACAGTTAGTTCAAGGTTAGCCTAGGCTATATGCTAAGACCCTGTCTCAAAATAATAAATAAATAAGTAAATAAATAGTTACATGAAAATGTTCATATTTCATGTATTGGTCCCCCTCCAAAACTTTACAACAAAAACAACAGACTTTATAGGTCAGAATTTAAAGAATTATAAATTTGTGACCTTAAAAAGACCTAAAACCTCTAATAGGTAAGAATTAAGGAACAAACTAAATGCACATAAATTATAAACAATTAAGGAACAAACTAAACACATATAAATCATAGATTACAAGGAAATAAAAGAGACCTTACTACTGAGAAACCATAAAAAGGAATCTACCTCCTCTATTAGACTAATAGAAGCCTGGAAGTCATACTTAGAGGAACATTGAGAACCCTCAAAAGCCTTCAAATTTAAACAGAAAGCTATAAAACAGAGGAACTAAGTTGTCATCTCATAAACTTAAAAAAACAGGAAGTTGGAGTTAATAATAAAACGTGGAACTAATGAAGCAGAAAAAAATAGAAAGAGCTAAGACAAGTAGAGAGATGGAAGAAGACTCTGTCTCAAAAAATAAATTTAAAAAAGTCAAAAAGATGACCAGATGCCAGGCATGGTGGTGCACACCTTTAATCCCAGCATTTGAGAAGCAGAGGCAGGTGGATCTCTGTAAGTTTGAGGCCAGCCTGGTCTACACAGGAAGTTCCAAGACAGCTAGGGCT